CACTTAACCTTTCTGCACCTCAGTTTCTTCCTCTGTAAAGTGAGGCCTGCAGCCCATCACTGTAATATGCCTGGTAAAGGGCTGGGGATGTAGCTCAGTGGTGCTGCCACTTGCCTCGAAAGTGCAAAGTCCCGAGTTTGATCAACAGTACCAAAAAAAAAAAAAAAAATACACCGGGTGATGAGCCAGTACCTGTAAAATCAGGACAACTGCTGAGTAATGGGTGCTAATGCATCCTGAACCGGCACTTCACGAGTTGCCAATGAGGGTCTGGGAGAGGCTGAGGTCAGACCGATGCTGCCGTAATGCTGGACGGAGTTTTCTAGAGGTCACTGGCAGCGACTTCACAACAGCCTGGCGGCAGAAGCAGTGGCGAGCACCCAGTGGCCTTTCAGGAAGCCAGACATTAAAGAGATTTGCAAATATGTAAAGCAAAGCCACTCTTCGTATTAAAGAATCTGTGCTCTGGAAAACGTATTTATTTTTCAGGAAACAAGTTATTTATGCTAACCTGTAATATGTTGTTATTTTAAATGAATATATTTTTGTTTTGTTTTGGTTTTTTGGTACCAGGGATTGAACTCGGTTCCTTGTGGCTTGAGAGGTAGGCAGCAGAACCCCTGAGCTAGATCCCCGGCCTTAAATGAATATATTGTTGCAGACATCCCTGCCCAGTACTAGTGGCTTATGAGCGGCATGTGCTTCCTGCCTTCCATAATTTGGCTGTATTGTTTTATATCAGGAGTCAGACCAAAGCCTCATGTGACTCAAACGAGCGGGTCAGGCAGCAGAGTCGGGCTAGCATTGCTCCTTTGCTAATGGCTGTCACTGAGGCCTCAGTCCTGGCCTGTGAAGTGGCAGGGATCTGGTGAATTACATGCAGCTGAAGTCAGTGTGACCCCAATTAAAACCCTTTCCCCTGAATTATAGCTTCTCACTGACCTTGTGGGTTGCGTGCTAACTGCACCCAGTCCCAGTACCGGTTTGTTCCATCCAAGCAAGATAAGCAGCGCTTCCTCCCTGACAGCCCTGCCCGGCGCCATCATGCCAGGTGTTTGGCAGTGCTTCACAGATGCCTTCAAAGCATCTCTGGCTCCCTATTCCTTCCCACGCTTGTATTCAATAAACACTGGATGCTCTTGGGGGCCGCCTTTGTCTTTCCTGACATCAGCAACACTGACCAGGACCCAAGACTCAGCTTCTCCACTCTAAGTCTCGTTTCTGTCTGTTCGTGAATTCGCCCTGTGCTGTGGTGGCGCAGGCCGGGGCCCACGGCAGAGGTCCTGGTAACATCCGCTTCCCCGTCCCCTACGATATTGATGTGGTGGACGCTTGCGGGTGCTGACGGGACAGGAGCGCTGACTGGGAAGGTCTGAAGGTCTTGCTTCTCCTCCTCAGCCTCCTGCCCACCCCTGTGCCGTCCCGTCCCCTCCTCTCCTCCCTTGACCTGCGAGACTCTCAAGCCTGGGTGGTTTGAGGATGCACCCTGATTTTAGAACCAGGCTGACCTGGATCCAAACCATGGCTCTGCTTCTTACTGTCCTAAAGAGGTGACTTAGCCTCTCTAGGTCAGGTCAGGACTGAGTGCCTAGGACGGCCATCAGGAGGAGGGCTGCGATACGGGAACCCCGTCCCTGGATGGGTGGTCATGGTCCTTACATTTTTCATCGTTGTTGTTCACCATCATTGGGTCCCTTGCTGTGTGCTCAGTCCCCCTGTCCCTGCCTCCTGCATCACCAGTCTCGAAGAAAAAGGCAAAGCAGGGGCTGCCTCCAGCTTGCCAGTGTGTGAACACACACACACACACACACACACACACGCACAGCTCTCTCACTCCCTCCACTCCACTCTACAGCAGAGATAAAAGTGAAAAATGACAGCCAAATGTCAAGCACCCAGGACTGAATGGCCCCTGCATCACCAGTGCTGGTGCCAAGGCAGTCTGGGCTCAAGGACGCACGGGGACTGTCGGGCCTGGCCTGGGACCATGTTCATGTCCGCCCTGGCCTCCGGCTGCTCGGGGTGCCAAGGGCACCCTCCGTCTAGCTCTGGTGGGACAAGATTCCCGACAGCCCGTGCCTCCAGGGTCACAGGGAAGCCGCCCTGCCCCTGCCCCGGCCTGCCAGGTCCTTCCTGGGGTCCCCGGCCACTCACCCGACAGTTGCTGAGCTCCTCGGCAGCCAGGATGATGGTGCCACATTTCTTCCCTGGGACACCGCTGGGAGACAAGAGCAGAGCATGGAAAGGCAGCCACAGACAGAGACCCCAGCACTCCAGGAACCCTCCCGGCCAGCTGGTCCGCCCCAGCGCCCCAGCAGGGACCAAGCCTTCTGAGAGCCGTGGCTGTGTGCCCCAGGGTGCGGGCTTCTGGGGCTACAGGGGCTCCCCGCCCTCTGCTCCCAGAGCCCCCGGGAGGCAGTGCCTGCAGCGAAGTCCTAGAACAGCAAAAGCATCCAGACTCACCCAGACGCTTCCGGACCAGTGGTTCTCAAACTTTCCATCCAAAGACCACTTCTGTGGGTAAAAGACCTTGTGGGCTGGCCACCCCATCCCTGGCTGATCCGGGGTCCTGGGGTCCCCAAACATTCCAGCCCCAGCTGCCATGACACATTAACGGGGGGGGGGGGTAGGATCGGGCTGGGCCTGGTGTCCTCTCGCTCGGGCCACCTCCCCGAAACACTCTGGCTGGGGTCTCCCTAAAGGTGAAAAAGCCCAGCCAGGCAAAGAGCTCCTTGGTGAGTGGGCCACCAGGGTGAGGACCACGGCTGTCCCTGCAGATGAGCCCCTGTTCCACCTAGGTCCCCTCCCCAACACTGATCACCCACTCTGATCTCTGGGACTAAGCTGGGGGTGCAGGAGGACCCCAAGGGAGCGAGGGGCCACCAGGAGGGAGAGGAGGTTACAACAGGCTGAGAGGGGCTGTGTGGCTTACCACACGTGGCACAGGTGAGTGTGGTCACAGCGTGCTGTTCACTCACTTGCACACACAGTGCCACGCCCCAGGGCCCCACCCTGCTGTCTTCGGAACACACTTTGAGAACCACTGATAGAGAGGCAGGATGGGGGGGGTGCAGAGGGCGGGGCAGGGTCGGTGAGGAGCAGGGGCCACATCTGGAGCCTCCCCTGCCCAGGCGGGGCAGTTGCCCGTGTGCCCCTGGTCATGGCCCACCCACTGAGCTGGGCCCCGAAGCCCTCCCGGCCTGGCCCTGCTCTGCGGTAGTAAAGACAGGCCTGGGGAGGCCAGGAGAGAGAATCCTCAACAGCAGCCTCCTCCGCCCCGTCTCTCCATCTGTTCCTCGCCACCGCCCAGTCCTCTTCTATTTCTGATCTTTCTCTCCCTCGCTCCAGCCCAGCCTGCTCCCACCGCGGCCTTCCTTCCTCAGTCTCCCTCCCTCCCTGCTGCTCTCCGCTCCTGCCTCGGCTCTGCATGGGCCCCTCACCCCGATCGCCAGAGGCCCCTTCCCCACAGCTGCACCAGCAGGCCCGGTGGCCATAGGAACAGGCCAGGCCTCGGCTGATTCTGCCAGAGGAAGGAAGCCAGGGCGGGGGTGCTGCAGCAGGGAGAGCGAGGGAAGGCGGGGAGCCGTGCAGGACCCACACACACAAAGCAGCCAAAAGCACATGGTCAGCGTGGGGTGAGGTGGCCCGGAGCTGTGGGCAGAGTGAGGGGACTCGCGGAGCCTGCTCTGTGGCAGGAGGAGGCTGAACCAGCCCAAGTACAGAGAAGGCAAGGAGAAGGGGCCCAGTGACTCCCGGAATGCCCCAAGGTCCTGAGGGCCCTGGTGTTCCAGCCTGGGCCTCAGCCAGCGCCCTTGCTGCCTCTTCCCCAGGGCTGAGTTTGCCCTTTGCTGGGCAGGATCAGGACCTGGGCCCAGACTCGGGCACCCTTGGCAGAGCTGGCTGAATATGGGAGGACCCCAGGGCCAGAGGCGGCTGTGACCTACCCATTGGACACAGCTGGCATGGGCTTGCCCGTCCTGGAGTTGAGGCTGAACGCTCCTATGCTGTGGAGAGAGGAAGACAGAGCGCAGGCCATGGGCGCGGGTCCCAGGACAGAGAGGCCAGAGCACCTGCCAGTCGGAGGATTTGGGCCGGAGGGAACAGGACCAGAAGCTATAGGCTGGGGGCAGGGGGTTCTTCCCAGGACTTCCGAGGCCCTGGGGATGTTGTACAATGCCACAGGTTCTCAAAGTGGGGTCCTCAGACTGAAAGTGTCAGCCTCCCCTGGGAATATACGTTCTCAGGCCTCACTGTTCCTGTCTGGGTCAGGAGCCCTGGGCGTGAAGCCTGCCCATCTGCCCCAGGTGGCCCTGTGGCCTGCTACAGGGACAGACCCACTACAATACTCGACCCCGGTACCGCACTGTGGGACGGCAACATTGCTGAATGACCCGAGATCACACGACAGAGTGAACGGTTCTCCCGCTATTCGTGTGTTGCAGTCCCAACCTGGGTACCTCAAAATATGACTGTGTCTGGAGACGAGGCCTTTATGGAGGTCACGTGGGTGGGCCCCAATCCCGCAGGACTGATGCCCTTATAAAGAGATGAGGACACAGATGGTTGCCAGGGGGAGAAGACACGGAACCAGCCAGGTGTGATGGCGCACGCCTGTGATCCCAGCACTCGGGAGGCTGAGGCAGGAGGATCACTGTGAGTTTGAGGCCAGCCTGGGCTATATAGTGAGACACTGTCTCAAAAAAAGAAAAGAAAAAAAAGAAGCTAAAAACCACAGAGGGAGGAGAAAGAAGACAGCCATCCACAAGCCAAGGAGAGGCCTCAGGAGATGAGCCTGTCTACATCTTAACCATGAACTTCTAGTCTCCAGAATTGTAAGAAAATAAAAATTTCTGGTCTTTAAATCATTCAACCCATGGTATTTGCTACAATAGCCCTAGCAAAAGAATACAGTTGTCCCTCTGGACCCACAAGGGGCAGGTCCGAGGCATCTGCAGATAGCAAATCCCTGATTGCTCATGTTCCTTATATAAAGTGATGTGTTTGTACACAGCTTCCACCTGTGTATTTTCAATCACCTTTGGGTTACCTATAATACCTAATATGGTGTAAGGCCTATGCAAATAGTTGATGCATTGTGCAGGGAACGATGACAGGAAAAACGTCTGTACCTATTCAGTACAGACGCAACTGTTGAAGATGTTTTCAACCTGAGGTTGGCTGAATGCATGGATTCGGTATCCAGACACTGAGGGCTGACTTTACAGGCTTCAAAAACAAAACCCTCACCCTCCCGTCTGGCCCAGAATAGATGCCCAGTAAACAGGAGCTGCTGATAGGATTTAGTCACGACGCCAACTAAACTTAGAACCAGGGAACCTCTGGTGGGGTAAAAGGTCCGCCTCCTCCGCCAGTGTCTCCTTCAGTCTCGGTGTCAGGTCTTCCGTACCCCGGTGAGGCCTCTCACACCAGGCAGCTCCTGTGGGATGCGTGCCCTGAGCCCCACTGCCCACCCCAGCCTAACAGGCTGGGCGGCAGCAGGTAGAAACAGGCCTGAGCGAGTCGGGGGCTCTGGACCCAGCAGGTGGGAACTGCAAAGACAGCCTCCCCCAGGCATCTTTACGGGGCCACAGCCACCAAGGGGAGGAGGGCAGGGTAGGGGGCTGCAGGAAAGACAGAAAGCCACAGATGGGCCACCTCTAGGACATAAGTAACAGGGAACAGGGCAGATTCCTGAGAGCAAGCCCCTTTCCAAGGTGGAGAAAGAATAGAAAGTTACAATTGAAAATGGTTAAGGAGCTGGGGGTGGTGGCACACGCTTGTAATCCCAGCTACCCTCAAGGCTGAGGCAGGAGGATCAAAAGTTCCAGGCCTGCCCAGGCGACTTGGCAAAACCCTGTCTCCATAAAAAAGGGCTGAGACTGTAGCTCAGTGACTCTTGGGTTCAATCCTTAGTACTGCTACCACCACCACTAAAGGAAAAAAAAGTTTTAAAAAGAGGTTAAAGAATGTCTGAGAGCAAGGGGCTAGCAAATATGAATTTTATAGCTTTATTTGAAGCCATTCCCCAAAGTCTTTAAGCTTCACACCTCGCCAAACCTGAGTTTTCCTGTCCTCAGTAAATGCTGGCCGTTACCACTGTTTGCTAGAAGCAGAGATGGGATTTCTCCAGGTCTCAGAGACCTTCCCAGGCCTCAGACATGACCTCACAGTTATGGGGGGTCAGACAAGGGCGTAGGAGAGAGACTCCAAACACACGCACACACGCACACGCATGCACACGGACTCACACAGCAGAAGCCAGTAGCAGCGGATGCCAATCCAGCCTGACCCGGCCCAGGGGCCCCAATCCCTGTGCCATCCACAGGATGCTTGTGCTTGGGGCCTGCTCAGGGATGGGGACAAGAGTGGCCACCTCTGCCCTCTGGCTGGGCCTGGCAGGGCAGTGAAGCCACCCTCAGACTTCACTGTGAGGAGCCTTGGGGTTCGTCATCCAAAGCCTGCAGACTTGCCGCTCATGACCCAGCTCAGGCTCATGACAAGCTCCAGATAGTCTGAGGAATATGCTGATTCAGTCAGGTCCCAGGTTCAAATACAAGCTCTCGTGCCTCCTGGCTACAAGGGTTAGAAGTGCTGTAACCTTCGGAGTCTCCCTGCTGCCCACCACCCTACAGATGCCCAGCATGACCAGCGACTGCTCCGCCCCACCCTCTGCTGGCCCTTGGCAAGGTGGGCAGGAAGCTGGCCCACTCCCAGGGAGGCAGTCAGACAGCATGCACCCCCTGTACTTACGTGAGGGGCTTCTCCAGGCGGCTCCCAGAGGACCCTACAATCTCTCCAAGGGTGCAGAAGGCCTGGCCCAGGAAATCCTGCAAACCCCAGGCACAGACAAGGCCAATGTCACCTCCTGTGCTCATGGCCACAACCCCCCAGGGTCTGAGTGACCAGCATTGGGCACACTCTGCTGCATGAAGCCCAAGGCTGACTCAGAAAAGGGCATTTAAGAAATATTATGGACATGCAGGGGCCGGGCAGCCACAGGAGGACTCACGTGTTTGGACAAATCAGGGCTCTTGGAGTCAACATCATACCTGCAGGGAGCACAGAGACATGGTGAAGGCAGGTGGGATGCCCTCCCCAGCCCTGCCTGGGTCCCTAAGGACAGCCGGGTCCCTTCCCGCCTCCACAGGCACCAACACTGTGGCTGTCGCTGGGCCAATGGCTGAGTGACACAGAAGGCACCCCAGGGTAAAGAGGTGGAAAATTGGTCCTGGGGCGGCCTTCACGTGTGCCCAGTACACCTTGTTGAACGCCTCACCCTTCACTCCCTGCTCCCTAGACTCCCATCACGGCTCCGCTCTCCATGCAACTCACGGCTTGCCCATGACCTCCCCTTCCCAGGTCACCTTATCCAGGCTGCCCCGGGCCTGGGCACTCGCCGAGGAGGGAGGCACTGCCATGCTGACCTCAGCTGCAGACAGGCTGACCTGAAACTGCACCCCTACCTGCCTTGGAGGACGCGCACCCAGTGGAGCCTGCTAAAATGCCTCCTCCCTTGCAGCCGTCCTCCAGCAAGCCCACCCAGACTTGCCCTCTCTGCACCCTGACAGCCATTTAGGCCTCCCGAGGGCCCCTTTGGAGCACTCTCCCTCAGAAATGTCACCAGGAGCCATCTCTGTGTGGGGTGCGGTACTGGGCCTCAGCTCTCCCAGCCCAAGTCACTGGTTCTGCTGCACTCCCCTCTGCTCCTCCTTGGGGCCACAAACCCCTCCTTCCCGCTCCACCCCCTCCTCCCCACCTTTCTACAGCCCGGACACACCCAGAAACAGCAGCCTCCCCTGCCTGCTCCACAGGCCCAAATCCCCTTCCCCTTAATGCCAGGCGTGGCCTCTCCCCCTTCCTCATGGGTGCACGGCTCCTTGGGGAAGGGGAGACAGAGGGGACCTCCTGTGACAGTGAGAGGCCATCGGGTGCCCTTCGGCCACAGGGGGTTCAGGGTGCCTGGGGACAGAGCCCAGGGTTGCCCCAAGGTGGCTTCCAGCGCCCACACCTGAGCTGGACAGTGGGGCGGCCGGCCCAACACCACCCTCACTGGAGTCACAAGGGGGGACGCCTTTGTTCCCTCTCCCCCATCCCCTTTCCGCAGGGGACTTCAGCTAGTTTCCACCTTTATCCCACCCAGGTGAAGGACTGCGGCCCCTCCCTGCCCCCGCAGCACCCCTCCCACTCACAGGTCGAAGCGGAGGTTTTGCTTCTCCTCGAAGAAGTAATCCACGATGAACTTGCGCACGAAGTCGGGGTTCAGCGTGTTGTCGATGACCTCCGTGCGCCCAAACTGCAAGAGAAGGGGGCTGGTGGTTCAGGGCCAGGGGCCCAGCTCCCGCTGGAGCTCATGTCCCTGTCCCCAGATCACGGGACCCAGGTGTGCGTCCTCCACCTACACCGAGATCACCACACACGGAGGGCGCTGGGCTCCATGCCTGCTTCCTCTCCCTCCGCCCGCAGGCCACTGCTGCCTCGCAGCCCTCCCCTGTCTTCCCCCAGCCCACGTCCTTCAGGGCCTCCCCTCTCTGACAGTGACGACGTCCACATCCACTTCCGAGGGGCCCAGGAAGCCAACCCTGCCCCACTGATCTCACTCAAGCCAACCAAGGCCCTGCCAGCACTGAGGCCAGCGAGGCTGCCCTGGAGCCTGACCCTGCTGTGGAAGCCGCAGTTCGGTGCCGTCGGTCCCTCAGCCGTGGGTGACAATGCTGACGCTGAACGTCCCTGGTTTTCTTGAGCAGCTGGCCACGACACTCAATACCTGAACCCCATGAAGCTCCCGGATGATTCTAGGCAAGCCAGCATCCATCTCTGGACCTCAGAGTCACCAAGAGGACTTGCGGAACACAGAGTGGGGCTCACTCCACAGCTCCTCTTTAGAAGACCTGGGGCGAGGCCCGGGAAGGTGCATTTTACAGAACCGCTGCTTTGCAAGGCACAGGGTGCGTGCTCACAGAGCGCTGAAGGAATCAAGGTTGATGAGGGAAGGATGGACTGCATCACAGGCACAGAGCCACTGTCCCCATCAGCAAGTGGAGAACACTTATCCTGCTTACTTCTAGAGCTACCACTCACTTCAGTGTTATCCTTACCTTTTTTTTTTTTTCAGACAGGGTCTCACTGTGTATCTGAGGCTGGCCTTGAACTCAGCCATCCTCCTGCCTCGGCCTCCTGAGTGCTGGGATTACAGGTGTGCATCACCATGTCAGGCAACAGTGCAGTTCTTCTACAACTGCTTTTAAGCCAGGCAATATGCTCTGTATTGAGCTACACAGATAAACAGAACAAGGCCCCAGTGCCTGAAGAGTCCTCTCCACAGGGGGACAGCACAGAAACAAGTAGCCACAGGTGGCTAACGGAGCTCACAGAGCGGCACACAGAGGTACCAGGCAGGGCCTCTGCCTGGGCTGCATGTGACAATTCATTCCCGGGGAACTGTGAAGATGATGAACCAGACACGAAAAGAGTGGATACTGAGTGTGGCGATTTAGATCTGAAATGTGCCCCAAGGTCTCGTATTGTAAGGCACAGCTCGCAGAAGGTGACTGGATCCTGGGGCTCCACCCTCATTGTCTGATGGTACCATCACCCGATGGCATCACTGGGAGGGGATGGAAGCTCAGGAGATGGGCCTAGTTGAAGGGAGTGGGTCATGGGATGCTTCTTTGCACACTATATCTTGTCCCTGGCCCCTCTCTGGCCCTCCCCTTTCTCTCTGCTTCCTGGACATCGTGAGGCCAGCAGCTTTCCTCTGCCATGCCCTTCCTCTCCCATGCCTTCCTCTGCCATGCCCTTTGGCCATGTTGTTTCTGCCTCACTGTAGGCCTGCGGCAATGGAGCCAGCCAACCATGGACTGGGACCTCTGAAACTGTGAGCCAAAACAAACCTTTCCTCCTCTAAGCTGTCTTCCTCAGGTATTTTGTCCCAACAATAGAAAGTGAACAACACACCAAGTGTCCTTCCTAACACACTGGTGCAGACACCTGGTTCCATAGTGGTCTGCAGCTTTCATTATCTTCGAGCTACTCAACTCTGGAAAATGTGCAGAGTGACTCTCACTCATAGAGATACAAGTGCATCCTGTACAGTGGAATGCAATGGGTTATCACTCTGTAGATGTTGACAAATCCATGGGTAAATTTATTTCTGAATTCCCAACTGCCTGTAGGTGTGTATTGTTCAAATTACTTCAACTGGTTATAAAATCTTACTGGTCTCCTTTTTAGTTAACAAGTTAAATAAATCCTGTCATGAGTTCATTTTAGGTTTGTATAAGAGTCATAGTTTGCCTTTTTAAGAAATACAGGCGCTTTTAAAAAATACTTATGAATGCTGGTCGTAGTGGCGCATGCCTGTAATCCCAGCACTTGGGAGGCTGAGGCAGGAGGATCACTGCATGTTCAAGGCTAGCCTGGGCTACACAGTGAAACCCTGTCTCAAAAAAAACTACATAAACCTGGGGATTTAGCTCAGTGGTTCTGCTGCCTTGCCTCGCAGGCGCAAGGTCCCGTGTTCGATCCCCAGTACCAAAAAAAATAAAAAACCAAAAAACTACATATGTTCAAGCCCTACTACAGACCAATTAAATCCCAAACTTAGTAGGTAAGGCCCGAACAACCACGCTTCTTTAATGTTCCCTAGGCGGTTCTAATGAGCAGATGGAGTTGAGAACCAGCAAGGAATGAATACAGCAGGAGGAAGGAAGAAAACAAACATTGACTGAGCCCCTACTGACTGCTCCATAGATCAGATGAATCATTAAGTTATCTCACTCCGAGAATCTCCCTCCAATTCTTCTCAGAATCCTGAGGGGTTTTGCCCATTTCACAAGTGAGACTGAGAATCCACAAGGTTAAGGAACTGAACCCACATCACACAGCTGGGTGGCCCCAAGCCCGGTCTATTTTCACTTCATCCAACTGCAAGGAGTCATCGAACATGAGAATCAAATAAAGATGAGGTTTGCCTCTCCAGCATTTATGGACAACCCACTGTGCACAAGGCGATGGGGAGGGGAGGGGAGGGAATGGCAGGCTGCATACGTCCAGCTTCCTGTCTCAGCCCTGAATGCCCTGGTAACCTTACAAGGTATCACCTCGTTTGCCTCCAATTAGAAATTAAAAATTCTTAACACCTCCCGTCTTCAGACAAAAGACAATTTCTCCTAATGGGTTTCTTGCAGAATATTCCAGGTATACACCCAGGTTTCTGAGCAGCGTCCTCCCTCACTGCCTTCCTCCTCCAGCTCCTCCAGCAGAGCTGAGAACCGCACCTCGCAACCCCACCACCCTGCCCAGCCCAGACCCCGAGGAAAACACCAATCAGGGTGCTGCTTCTAAATGGCACTCAAGCTGCAGAGGAGGGGATTCTCTGGAGGCCCATCTGCCTGGGAAGAAGATGGGGTTCCCCTGGAAACGGCCTGGTGGGGGCTCCGGGTGCCCCCTAGCACCTCCTGCCAAGGGAGCCAGGCTGGCCAGAGACAGCTGATGGCCTTGGTGGTACCTAACACACACCCATCAACAACTGCAAAACCCGAAAGCTAGGACTTCAGTGCTGTTTTACGGCCTTCATTACTTGCACTAATAACAAAGGGGAAAGATGCTTGGATCTGAATTTTAAATCTCAGAAGCTACTAGGTCCCTGTCAAGCCCTATTTAACGCACTATGAATGACGGCAGCAATGCAACTGAATGGATGCTGAGAAAAAGAATCATTTTGGCTACTGTATTTCACTCTCCATAGAATTAGTTTCAGGCTGGAAGGGACTTGGAGAGGTGAAGGGTCAGCACCCAAGCTGGGCAGGCACACGAAGGCTGCCATGTAACTGCTGGGCAGGAGGCAAATCCTGCAGGGGAGGGGAACGAGGGGTGGGCTGACCCCTTGCCGGGGAACCTGGAGCCCAGCCAGCCTGTGCCACCTGGGGCTCCTGGAAGCGCCTGTCCCTTCCTCCCAGGTCAGGTGTGGGGCACAGACACCAAACAGCAGGAGAGCCCAGGAATTCTGAGTGCAGAGTTGATACAGGGAAGGGAGGTGAAGGGGACCCCCAACCCTGAGGGCTGGGACAACCTGTTGTGGGGGGCACAAAAGGAAAGGAAGCCCACCAATGAGGCTACTTCCCCTCTGAAAGGATAGCTTCTCCCTGGCAACAAAACCCAGAGGAAAACGCTGACATGCCACAAAGAGGCTCCCGTGGGCTCTGAAACCTCTGTGACTAAGCCCCAGGAATATCAATTAAGCAGCTTTAATTACACATCACCAGCTCCAGGGAGACCCTCAGAGGGGAGCCAGGCTCGAAACTTCACTGGGGACTGAAGTAAGTAGCGGCCAGGGACTCCGCTCAACCTGAGTGGGCATTTACAGGGCCAGGTGGACAGCCGGACAGCAGGGCCGGGATGGGAAATCCAGACCAGGCAGGCAAGGTCCCCTGGCTCAGTCCCCCCACAAGGCCAGGAGGCACGGCTCCTGGGGGGACATCAGCTTCCTGACCCCAGTGGGGTCGGGGGCTGGCACCCGCCCACCCAGCCTCTGCTGATCCACACTGCAAAAGGTGACTTCCTTCCAGCAGCCTCACCCCGTCCCCTGCCCTGTGGCCACGAGCTGCATTTCACCGCTGGAGGCACTGCCAGAGGGGAGCCGGGGGAGACAGCCGTTGTTTCTCCCCAGTCCTGCAGGGACCCCACACTTCCACCCGTGGTCTCGGCGGCCTCCTCCAGTGTCCCTGGAGCTCAGAAGAACAGCTCCCTGCTGCTGTGCATCCCTGGGGGCCGTGTGGTCCCCGTGGATTTCCTCAGTCTCACCCTGCCGTGGAAAGAAATCCCTGCATTAAAGTCTCCCCGTTAAACCATCTGAGCAGAATCCTCTTTCCTGCGGGACTCTGACGGATATGTTTTTTCTTCACAAACATCCACACACAAACAATTCCCAACTCGCCTGACTGCAAACCAAGAAAAGTACCTGCCCCCACCCCATTCTGCTCCCATCCACCATGTGACGTTCATGTCACCAAGAAAGTGTGACTCCCACGCATGCTGCAGGGGGGCCAGTGTCCCATGACAGCCCTCTGGGGTGCAGGGTCCCAGCACTGCTGTGCCCGAAGGCCTGTCTCTAGGGGCCTTGGCGGGTGGGGACAGTGGGGCTGTCCCCAGCCATCTACACAGGGGGCATCTGGAGGAGGTGGAGAGGACAGAAGCCAGATGTGTGCCGCGGGGCTCGAGGCCCTTCTTCTGGGTTTTGGTGGAAGTTGTGACACCTGGAGGCTGAATGCAAATGTGTACACGAATTTTCTGGGG